AACTTCCAGAGACTCCTCCTGGACCCCTTCATCCTCCCCTTGGATTCCCACACATCCCAGTACCCCCCTTCCCGAATCCCTCAGCCCCGCCCTGCCCTGGCACGGGGTGGGATTCTGGTGGGATGGGGTGGGGGGAAGGGACATGGAGGGGACATCCCGGAGGGGGGACAAGCCCCCAGCCCCCCCCCCCATCCCCCCACCCCCCCCCCCCCAGATCACCCAGCTGAAGATCGACCACAACCCCTTCGCCAAAGGATTCCGGGACAACTTTGACTCGTGAGTGCCACCCCCACCCCTTCCTCCCGGCCTCATCTGGCAGGAGGAACCTCCCCCCGCCAAAAAAAAAAAAACAAAAAACCCAAAATCGCGTTCTTTCCCCCTTTCCCAGGATGTACACGGCCTCGGAGAGTGATCGCCTCACCCCATCCCCGCCCGAGGCCGCCGGGTGCCAGCAGCTCCTGCCAGCCCCTCGCTTCCAAACCTTCCTGCCCGAGCAGTACCCGCTGCCCCCGGGCCGCTTTTTCGGGGGGGACCGGGGGGCTGCGCTGCCCCTGCCCCCCAAAGATCCGCCCCACTGGTATTTCCCCCCGCAGCAGCCGCCGGCCCCCGGAGCTCTGGAGTACGGGGGCTACGATGGGGGCTACGGAGGGGGCAAATTGATGCCCTATGGGGTGAAACCCTTCGCGCTGCCCCCAACCCCACACCCTCCCCTGCCCTATTACCCCGAAGGGCCGGGGGGTTTCGGGGTGACTTCGGGGGGCTGGAGCCCCGGGCAGTACGGTCCTAAGGGGGGTGCAGCGGCTCTGGGCTGGTACCGGGAGCCCCGTGAGGAGAAAGGGAAGGAGGTGGAGGGTTGGGCTACCGAGCCCCCCGCTGTTGTGGCCTCGGGGGACTCGTCGGACTCGGGGCTTTACGAGTGCAAAAGGAGGAGAGTGTCCCCGTACCCCTCCAGCACCGAGAGCTCCCCCCCGCCCCGCAACGGCGACCTCTACGACAAGGACCCGGTCACCGACGGGGGCTACTATGGCTACTATGGCAACTGAGTCACACCGCTGGGGGGTAGGGGGGAAAAAAGAGGGGTCAGACCCTCCCCGGGCACCCCAAATCTGGGTGAAAATGGGTCCTGTGTGAACCCCCCCGTTCGGTATTTAACACTTGAGAAGAGTGGGGGGCTCAGCCTGACAATCAGCTCCCGGTGCCACCCCGGTGGGGCCACGGGGGCGAGCGGGGAGGGGATGGGAGGAGGGGGATGGATGGTGGTGAGGGGTTTTTTTTGGGGGGGTGTTGGTGGTTTTTAAGGGAGGGGGGTTAATGCTGAAGTATTTATTGAGCCCCCTCCATGCCCGGTGTGGGGCGGGGGGGGGCTGCAGCATATCGCAATAAAATGGGGACACCGTGGGACACGGCTCTGGTCAGTGCTGGGCGTGTGGGGAGGGAAACTGAGGCACGGGGGACTCCTGTATCCCCATCCTGATTTGGGAAGGGGGTCCTGAGCCCCCCCACCCCACCCCGGGGTGGTGATGGGAGGGGGAGAAGGAATCTCTCAGCACACCCCAACTCTTCACAGCCTTTATTAGAGCAGCCCCTGTGCACAATTTTGGAAGGGGGGGGGGGTGGAGCAGTGGGGTCTTCCCGCCCGCGGGCACCCTGCGACCTCCCTGAACCCCCTCCCCTTTATCATCGTGTGCCCCCAGGGCAGGGGGGCGCTGCCAGCCCCTGCCCCAAAGTGCCTCAGCTGCCCCCAAGGCTCTGCCCTGGGGCGGGGATGGGGGAGGCATTGCCAGTGCCCCCCTCCCATTTTTATATCACAGTTTTATGGAAACACCGGCAAAATGGCTCGGAAATGTGGGGGGGGGGGGGGGGGGGGGAGTGAGTGGGGTGGGATTCTGCACCCCCAAGTGCTGGGGGGACCAGCCCCGCTGCTGGGCACTGCTGTGAGGAGCTGGGGGGGCTCAGAAGCCCCCCCGTTTTGGGGGTGGCTACCAGAGCACGGCGCTGTCCAGGTGGGCAAAGCCGGGGTCCAGGCGCAGCTTCCAGTAGGTGTTGTTGGTGACCCAGGACTCCTTGCCATTGGCATCCGTCAGACGCCTGGGGATGGGGATGGGGGGAGGCATGGATGGGATTTTCAGGGGGGTTTTCCCATTCCCTGAGAACCCCACGCTCCTCTGAACCACGAGGTCTGCACAGGGTCTCGCCATTCCCTAAAATCCCCCACAAATCCCTGGAGTGACCATGGAGTGGCCTCAGGACTCCCATGGGGGAGTTTCTCCATTTCCTTTGAGCCCCACATCCCCTTGAGCCTTGGGGTGCCCTCAGGACTCCCATGGAAGGGTTTCCCCATTCCCTGAGAGCCCCACATCCCCCTGAGCCATGGGGTGTCCCCAAGACTCCCAGGGGGTCTCCCCATTCCCTTAAAACCCCTCCATTCCCCCTGAGCCATGGGATGTCCCCCAAGACTTCCAGGGAGTTTCTCCATTCCCTGAGACCCCCACACCCCCTGAGCCATGGGGTGCCCTCAGCACCCCCAGAAGCTCTCCCCGCTCCACAATCCCCCCAAATCCCCCCTCTCCACGGCTCCCCCAGCCCCGGCAGCCCCCCCAGACCTGAAGAACCGAGCTTGGTGGGTGATGTTGTTCTCCTCCATGACCCGACGCCGGTCCCGCTGGAGCTGCTCGATCTGGCGCTTCTGCGCCTCGGCCGCCGGCACGTTCCCCTCCTCCAGGTACCTGTGGGGACACAGCACCTGGCTGTGAGCACCTGGCCAGCTTTAGCCCACCCCACCCCACAGCCCAAGGGCTGTGCTGACCGCTGGTCCGGCCGCAGGCGAGTGTCCGTGGAGGGCAGGACCCTGCGGAGCTCCGGCGTGAGCTCGTTCAGCTCCAGCGCGAACTGCGTGAAGCCGTAATTCCTCTCGTGGTCACGGGGCATGGGGTCTGCGCGGGGAGGGGAAAACAGTGAGAGACCCCTCCCCAAGGTGGGGTAACCCCCTCTGGGTGGGTGGTCTCCCCCCAGCTCCTTACTGGCTTTCCAGACGCACTGGCCCGGGGTGGGCCCGCGGTGTAGCCCCTCGTGCCATTTGCCGGCCAGGCGCTCCACGGCCGTCCCGCTGCGGCTCAGCACGGCCCCCTGCACCTCGTTGGCCCCCGCGCCCCAGTACCGAGCCTGTGGCCACCGGGACCTCAGCGGTGGTGGCCGGGGGGGGGGAAGGGCGGGGCCGGGAGGGTGGGGTGGGGTCAGTGGGAAAGGGTGGGGCTGCTGGGAAAGGGGTGGGGCTATTGGGAGAGGGTGTGGCTATGGTAGGGTGTGGTCATCATGGAAGGGTGGGGCCATTGGAAAAGGGTGGGGCTACTGGGAAAAGGGTGTGGCTATGATAGGATGGGGCTATTGGAAAAAGATGGGGCTATTGGGAAAAGGGTGTGGCTACTGGAAAAAGGATGTGGCTACTAGGAAAAGAGTGTGCTATTATGGGGTGGGGTCATTGGAAAAAGGCGTGGCCACTGGGAAAGGGTGGGGCCAGGAGTGACAAAATTGGGATGGGGTGGGGCACTAAGTGGGTGGGGCCACTGGGAAAAGGGTGGGGCTATTGGGAAGGGGTGGAGCCATAAATGAGGGGTGGGGCCAGACAAGGGGCGGGGCAACAACACAGTGTTTAATTACCAATCCGTGATAGGGCGGGGCCACACCTGAGGGGGCGGGGCCAGTGATAATGCAGAGGGGTGGGGACAGTGGGTGGGCGGAGCCTGGGCACTAAGGGGTGGGGCCTGGGCAATAAAGGGTGGGGCCTGGGCACTAAGGGGCGGGGTCTGGGCACTAAGGGGCGGGGCCTGGGCACTAAGGGGCGGGGTCTGGGCACTAAGGGGCGGGGCAGGGCAGGGCGGGCACACCTTGCAGAAGGTGAGCTTGCAGTGGTAGGAGGCGTCGCGGGTGTTCCGGATCAGCACCTCCCCGTAGTGCTCGATCCAGCGGGGCCCGCTCAGCACGTTGTGGATGCACGTGGTCACCTTGTTCCACTCGTAGTGGTCCCCGGTCCTGCGGGCACCCCCGAGCTCGTGGGTGGGCACGGAGGGCACGGGGCGGGCACGGGAGAGGGGATGGGCGGTGCTGAGGTCTCACCTGGGCAACTGGACATTGACGGTGCCCACGGGGACGATCTCCAGGGATTTGCCCCAGAATTTGTTCTTCCACCTCATGTCTGGAGGTGCAGGAGGAGGAAGAGGAGGAAGAGGAAGAGGAGGAGGAGGAGGAGGTGAGACCCTCCCAGCCCCCCTCATTTGGGAGGACCCTCCCGACACCCAACACCCTCCTGAGCACTCACCTTGCCAGAAGACAAAATTGTCGGACTCAGCGTGGCAGGCGGAGATGGGAGGGTGATGGGACACCTGAGGGGACAAGGAGGGACATGCCAGCGCCCCGTCCAGCTCCGGGACACGCCCCCAGGGCCCTCCCCAGTGCCCACCTGCTCGCTGATGAAGCGGAAGCCGCGGTCGGGCCGCACGCACTCGTAGGTCTCGCCCAGCACGGGGTTGAAGGGTTTGCTGCCCGCCCGGTAATAGGTGGAGGCGTAGGCGGACACGGCGAAGGCGGCCACGTACACCTGTCCCCACGGCCACCACACTGCTGTCACCACGCCCGGGATGGGCACACGAGTGTCCTCCCCCAGTCCCATGAGTCCCAGGAGAGCCACGTGTCCTCAAGTGACTCTGAGGTCACTAAATCTTCAAATTGTTCCTGTCCCCACACGACCTAGAGCTCCCCCATGTCCCCTAAATTCTCAAATTCTCGCTGTCCTCACCCGTCCTCAGGCTCCCCCATGTCCCTAAAACTCTCAAATTCTCCCTGTCCCCCCATGACCTCAGGCTCCCCCTTGTCACACAGGTCCTTAAATCCTCAAACTCCTCCGATTTCCTCAAAATCCTCAAATTCTCCCTGTCCCCACCTGTCCTTGGGTTCCCCTGTGTCCCAAAATCCTCAAACTCCCACAATCTCCCTATGTACTCAAATCCTCAAATTCTCCCTGTCCCCACCTGTCCTTGGGTTCCCCTGTGTCCCCAAAATCCTCAAACTCCCCCAATCTCCCTATGTACTCAAACTCTCCCATGTCCCCAAAATCCTCAAATTCTCCCTGTCCCCATACGTCTTTGGGTTCCCCCGTGTCCCCCAGTCCTTCCCGAGCCCCCAATCCTTCCCGAGCCCCCGAGTCTCGAATCCTTCCCGAGCCCCCTGAGCCCCCAATCCTTCCCGAGCCCCCGAGTCTCGAATCCTTCCCGAGTCCCCCGTGTCGCCGGTGTCCCCGGCTCGCCCCCCTCACCAGGCGCTGCCGGGGGTCTCGGGCTCTGCTGGCTCTGTCGAGCAGGGCGCTGTACTCCAGCTCCTCGCAGAGCCGCTGCAGGGTGTTCAGGGGCTCGTTCAGCTGCACGGGCAGCGCCACGCGGGACAGGTCCTTGCCCACGCTGCTCCTCAGGAGTCCCCACAGGCTCACATCCCCCGAGGGTGCGGGGGGTGCGGGCAGGCGGCTCCTCCGCCGAGGGTCCGGCCCCGGCAGCTCCAACGGCGGCTCCAGCGGCGGCGGCTCCGCCGGCATCGCCGGGCGCTCCGCTCCTGCCGGGCAGCGGGCGGTGGGATGGAACCGTCCCCCTTTCCTGGTGAAACTCCTCCCCGGTTCTCTTCTCCCCGGTGTTCCTCTCCCCGGTCCCGGTGCTCCCTTCCCCGGTCCTCTCCTCCCTGGTGCTCCCTTCCCCACTGCTCCCCTCCCTGTTCCCGGTGCTCTCTTTTCCGGTGTTCCCCTCCTCGGTGCTCCCCTTCCCAGCGCTCCCTTCCCAGTCCCGGTGCTCCCTTCCCCGGCCCTCTCCTCCCCAGTGCTCCCTTCCCTGGTACTCCCCTCTCCGATCCCGGTGCTCCCTTCCCCGGTGCTCCCTTCCCCGGTGCTCCCCTCCCCGGTCCCGGTGCTCCCTTTTCCAGTGCTCCCCTCTCCAGTCCCGGTGCTCTCTTCCCCGGTGCTCCCTTCCCTGGTCCCGGTGCTCTCCTCCCCGGTTCTCCCCTCCCCGGTGCTGTCGGGGAGCGGAGCTCTCCCTTCCCCTCGGTTCTCCCCCGCCCGGTGTTTTCCCTTCCCGTATCGGGAGGCAAAGCTGCCCCCGCCTCGGTTCCCCCTTCCCGCACCTGCCGCCACCTCCACCGGTGCCCACTCCCTGCCCGGTGCCCTCCCCGGTGGTCCCGGTACCTGTCGGGGGACGGCCCGGTCCCCCCGGCTCCGTGGCCTCCTCGCAGACGCTGGTGGCGACCTCGCTGATGCACGACTCGTCCTCCGAGGGCTGAGGAGGCGCAGGGACCGTCGGCGGCTTCGGGGGTCCCGGGGGGATGGGGGGGGGATGTAGAGGGGACCCCATAGAGGGGGTGGGTGGGGCGCTACCGGGAAGGGCCCCCCGGAAAGGGTGGGATGAGCCCCGAGATCCTGGGATGGGCTTGGGGAGTGGGGATGGGGAGGGGGAGCAGCGGCGGGGGGGGGGGGGGCACCGACAGCACCCGACCCCCGCCACCGGGCTCAGAGACTGCGGAGACCCCGAGAGCGGGGAGGGAGGGGGCTGCGAGGGGCTGGGGGGGACACGGGGAGAGGGGGGGATCCAGGGGCTGGGGGGGACACGGGGAGCGGGGGGGATCCAGGGGCTGGGGGGGACACGGGGAGCGGCTCCCGGGCCAACTAATGAAGGTGGGACGGGGGAAGAGAGAGGGGAGAGATGAACCCAGAGCAGCGAGGGGTGGCAGGGGTCCGCCACAAGCAGAGACCCCCCCCCAACCCGCAGAGCCCCTCCCAAAGCCCCCTCACCTCGTTCTCAGAGGAGCTGGCGGACAGGAAAACCTCGCAGGCGTCGAAGAACTCGGTGTGGGAGTCGGCGAGCGAGACGATGCTGCGGTTGGAGAGCTGCTGCTCCCGGCCCTTGGCGGGCAGCGAGTCCGGCTGAGGGGACAGCACCGGCTCAGCCCCCATCCTAAAGGGGGTCACAGCACCCCCAGCCCGCCCCATGCCACCCCCCTGACCTCATCCGGGTGCAGCGAGGCAAACGAGTCCAGGGTGGTGTCGGAGGAGACGGAGAGGGAGTGGAAGCGGCGCAGGGCGGGCTGTGGGAAAAGGGGAGGCTGAGCTGAGCCCCCCCCCGGCCGGTCCCCTCCGGCCAGGACAAGGCTGACAGGGACAGGGGTCACCCAGCACCCTGCTGAGACCCCAAGATCAGCACCCCAAGGTCCCCTGTTGTCCCTCACCCCGGCGGTGCCGGCGCTGCCGGGCCGTGGGGCCGGGCACTGCCGGTCCAGCGCTTGCCGCATCTCCTCCAGACGGGCCCTCTCGGCCACCAGCGCGGCCACCACGCTGCTGAGCGAGCCGTGCACTGCCGGGGGACACGCCAGGGAGGGTCAGCACCCCAAAACCTGCCCTGACACCCCCGTCAAGGCTCAGCCCCCCCGCCCCATCGCACCTTTCTGGGCCAGGACCCAGAAGCTGCGCTGCAGCTGGGTGTACTCCGGGGGGAGGCTGAAGGGCAGCTGGCTCTGCGATGACTCCAGGTAACGGGACAGGTTGGGGACAGAGCCGTGCAGGCGACCCACCTGAGGGGACACGGGGGTCAGCGGGGTCACCTGGGGGGGCTCCGTGCCCCAGGCAGTGGCAGAGTTTGGGGGGGGATGTTCCAGCTCACCCTCACCCTGCCGATGGTGTCGTCCTTGGCAAAGCTCTGCGTGCACCAGATCTTGGTGGTCCTCCGGCCTTTCTTCGGCCTCTCCGTGGCTGCCGAGGGCTGTGAGGGAGAGGAGGGGGCTGCAGCCGAGGAAGGCGGGGGGCACAGGACCCCCCCTCACCTGGCTGTCCCCCTCACCTGGCTGCCGGGGATGAGTGGGGCCGAGGGGATGCGGTGCAGGGCCTCCAGGTGTTGGAGCATTCCCGTCAGCTCCTGCAGCTTGGCCTGGCACTCTGACAGCTCTGCCAGGGGCACAGGGGTCAGCGAGGGGGCACGGGGCACCCACCCGGCCCTGCACACCCCCTCGGGCCCCGCTCACCGGCCGAGCAGCGCTCCAGCCCCTCGCTGTCCTTCAGCCAGGCGTTCACCTTGTCCCGGGAGCTGGCCAGCGTGGACAGGGCAGGGGCACTGCCCGAGGGCAGGATCCGTGTCCACTGGCCCTGCAGCAGGGCACAGAGGGCATCAGCCGCTGTCAGGAGACACTTGCCACCCGCCTGGCGCTGTCACCCCCAGCTGTCACCCACCTTCGTGTTGGTCCCCGTGGGACCCCCCTGGGGACACGGCTCCAGCTGCTCGCCGTGGTGGTGGGTGCAGAGGCTGCTCACCCAGCTGGAGAACAGCTCCGGGGTCTTGATCTAGGGGACAGAGAGTTGGAGAGGACACGACCTGGCGTCCCCAGCCCCGTCCCATCCCGGCTTCAGCTCCTCAGTGGCACCTTGAGGTGATAAATGTTGTCCTCCGTGTCCAGGTCAACCCTCTGCGCCTTCTTGTTGACGGACATGACGGACTGACGGACATCGATGGCACCGTGCAGTTTGCCCTTGAGGACCTAGGGGGGCCCAGGGACTCCTGTCAGGGGGAAGACCCCCCCTTTCTCAGGGGGGCCACCGGGGTGTCCCAGCCCTGAGCCCTCGGGGAGGCTGCGTGGCCACAGCCTGGGCACACACTCACGTCCTGGCGCGTGGTGGAATATTTCAGGATCCCGTTTTCCAGCACGAAGTACCGCTGGGGATGGAGGAGAAAGGTTTTTTTTTGGGAGGGGGTGCAGAGAGCAGCTCCTACAGCCAGCCCACCCTGCCCAAATCGTGCCAGGACCAGCTGGGATCACGGTTCCTGGTGCCAGCTCAGCCTGTTACCTTGTGCCAGCCCTTCAGGGGCCATTTCCTCTTCTTGAGCAGGTACCCCTCGTGCCGCTGTGGCTGCTGCCCGGGGCTGCCCCGGGCACGGGGCTCCTCCACCACCTCCCAGCTCTCTGAGCCCTGTGGGGACAGGGGTCAGCGTGGGGGTCCCTGAGCACCAGAGGCTTCTGCCCACCTCATCCCCAGGCAGGGACATTTGGTACCCACAGAGACATCACCCTAAAGCAAGGAGAAGCCCCCAAAACCTCCCTCTGGTCCTTCTGAGCTCCCCAGACCCAAATCCTCCAACCTGCTGGACGCTGCTGTGCTTGGAAGACACGGTGCTGTTGGAGCGGGACAGGGCCCTTTTCGGAGAGGACGGGTCCTTCTCGTGGCTGCCCATGGCTGGCGAGCAGAGGGGGCAGGGGGCACCGGGCCGAGCCCCCCTTCCCGTCCGGGCTGCGGGGCCGGGGATCCGAGCTCGGCCGTCACGGCGGGAGCCGCTGCGGGGAGGGGACATCAGGTCAGGGAGTTCAGGGACAGCGTCTGCACCCCGGTTGGGACAGGGGGTGGCACGGATCCCCTTGTCCCCGGCTCCTGGGGGACCCTGCACGGCACCGCCGCCGGCACCCAGAAAGTTCTGCGTGAGCCGGAGCCTTTGACCCTCCCAGCGCTATCTCGGCTGCACCGCCCAGTCCGGGTCCAGAGTCCGGTCCCGCCGCCCCACGGACCGGGCACCACCGGGCAACCGTGGCACAGCCAGGAGGGTGACACCGGTGCAAAGACCGGGATCAACTCCGGCTCCATCCGGTACCCCCCAAGCCAGGGCACGACCCCTCCCGGCAGGGCGTTTGTTCCCTTTGCCCTTCACCATGCCAGAGGGGGAAACTGAGGCACGGGGAAGCTTTTCCTGGCCTTGCCGTGCCCCCTGGCGCTGTCCTGACGGGGCATCCCGACAGCTGCTGGAGGATGGACCCTGGGATAATCCCGGGACAGCGGCCAAGCCCCCGTACCGGTGACCACCGTGCCGCTAACCACGGCACCGGTCACCGCCGTACCCACGGTAACCACGGCACCGGCAGACAGACAACCACGCTGCCATAGATAACCCGGCACCGGTACCGGCGGCTCCGCAGCTCCGAGGGGGGAAGGCACCGGGAGTCTCCCGGTTCTCTCCCGCAGGTGCTGCCGGGGATCGGCACCGACCCCTCGCACCGGAGCGGGGCTGTGCCGGTACCCCCGGGGGTCTCCAAAGCCCCATGGCCGTGTCCCCGTGCCGGTGTCACCCTCCGGGCCAGCGGGGACCGGGGCTCACCGGGCCGGGTCGCATCCCCCCGGTGCTCACCTGGGCGGGCGGCGGGCGGGCAGCGGGGGCCGGGCGCATCCTGCCCGGTAGCGGCGGCGGCAGGAAGCGGAACACGGAGGGCGGTCCGGAGCCGCTCGGCTCTGCCCCCTGCTCCGTGGAGGACCGGAGCCGCCAGCGCCGGGAGCCGCCGGGGCACCGGGAGCGGGCACGGAACCGGAGCCCGCCCGAGAGCAGCCCCCGGGAAAGGGGTGGGGGGACCCCCGGGAGGGGCAGCGCTGCACGGGGGTCCCGGGGTTGGTCATTCCATGGGGGTTTTGGAGATCGGATCATGGACCCGCGGGGGTCGCAGGATGTCTGAGGGTCTCAGGATCATCGTCCCATGGGTGGTTTGGGGATTGCCAACTCAGGAGGGTCTCAGGGATCACCGACACAGCGGGATCCTGGGAATCACCACTCCATGGGAATCCCGAGGAATCACGGAAGTCTCGGCAATCACCGCCCCACGGGGATCTCGGGAATCACCATTCCATGGGGATCCCGAGAATCACCACCCCACGGCAGTCCCAGGAATCACTGACCCAGGGGGGTGTCAGGGATCACCCCTCCAAGGTGGTCCCGGGGCATTTCCACCCTGGGATTTCCCTCTCCCACCCCGGACCCCCAGAGCAGCCTTGCCCTCTCCCCCCACCGTCTCCCCCCATTCCCCAAAATCCCAGACGAGGCCTGGGCATCTCCACACAGAAGCTTTAATGGACATGACAGCGATCCCACGGGTGGGATCACTGTTCCAGCACACCCCCATTCCGAAGGCACAGAGTGCCCAAAATCTTCTCTGGAGGGTCCATCCCGTGCTCCTCCTCCTCCTCTGGCTGATCCCAGAGATCCCTGATCACAGCTGGAACGCTGCTGGGATGTTCCCAAAGAAGCACAAAGGAATGGCCACGACTCCCTGTCAGGGCTGGGGGGCCACAGGACCCTCAGTGGCAAACCTCCAGTCCCTGACCCCCCCCTCTTTGGAGCTGATTCCATGGGAATTGTGTCCATGATCCCCCAATCCCTTATCTGGGGGGGCTCCCTGTATCCCACAGCCAGGGAAGGAACTGGTTCCCAGTTTCCAGCGTCACTGATTCCCGGTGCTCTGGCCCGGGGGAGGCTCCGTGGCTCCCCCCGTGTCCCGCAGCCGTCGGATGTGCTCATCCAGGAGTGCCGTGAGGTGAGCTGGACCCCGCTGGAGCAGGGAGGAGGTCTGGGAGGACAGCAGGGACAGGGCTGCCACCGTCTGCCCCTGGGACACCTCCAGGGGTGGCAGCTGGGCAAAGTTCTCCACTCCCCGCCGGCTCAGGATCGTGTCGTCGATGCAGGCTCCTGGAAAATGGAAGCTCGGGATGGGCATGGAACAGCAGAGCCCCTTGGGAAGGGATTGCTCGCTCCTGCAGGCTGCCCAGCCCTTGCTGGCATGGATGCAGCTCTGTCAGGAGACCCTCATTCCCAGCCCTGG